ATCTAATACAATTAAAGCGTGTATTAGAATTAAATTGACAAAAATATTCAACAATCCTAATTCAATCACTCCTAGGGACTAGGGATGGTCTGGGTCCGATCCGACCGGCCCGGGAACCGGACCGACTCGGGAACCGGACCGACCCGCCATTGTGTGGGACCGGTTCCGGGCCTAGGCCCAACCCGGGGGCGTTTATGGGGAATTTACCCATAACTATATTTATTCATAAATATTGCTTTAAAAAATTTATCTTATTTGGGTGCAGTTGTTGATTTGGGTGCGTGATTGATTTCAAAAATTTATTACGTCTGTGTTTTACTTTATGTATAATAAAGTAGTTATTATTGAGCGTATGTATAACTTGTGTTATACGTTGCTCTCTCTCTCTCTAGAGGGAGAGCAGCGACCATTTCATGCGGTGTACCCAATTTCTGTTAAATCTATGTGCTTCTTCATTTCTATGGTTGTTTGATTGTTAGAAATAGGGACAAACATGTGGTATCAGAGCCGAGGCGTGAAATAGATTGAATCCATCTGTGATTTTTCAGATCTACCTTCAACGAAAAAGACCACCTATTTGAAAATGTCTTTTTCGATGTTGTTAGTTTGATGATCTGCCTTCAACGATCTTCAAAAATTTCTGGATGATTGTTTGAAAACAACCTACAATTTCATTTCTGAAGAAATCTTTGTTTTTACAGTTGCAGATTTTCGAAGCTTGGTGTTTCTCGATGTCTGGAAGTTTTTTGATGTTTTTGCTTTTTTAATCTCTGAAATCTTGTTTTTTTATCCAATCATTGTAAAAGCTATACTGTTAGAATCGCCTCTTAGAACCGATCAAGCAGTATATCTTCATTTTTTACTCATGTAATTTTCGAATTTTCAATTTCTCGATATTGTCTTTTCGAAAAGCAGGTTCTCACAGGTTGATTATCGAAGAACATGTTTCTCGCTATTTGATGCTCGAAAACAGGTTCCTCCATATTTGATGTTCGAAAAACAGGTTTCTCACAGTTTGAAGTTCGAAAACAGGTTTCTCGCAGTTTGGAGTTCGAAAACAGGTTTCTCGCAGATTGATGTTCGAAAACACATTTCTCGCAGTTTGAAGTTCGAAAACATGTTTCTCGACATTCAACATCGAGAAAAAGTTTTCGATATTCAAACATCGACAAAAAGTTTTCGATATTCAAACATCGAGATGACGTTTTCGATATTCAACATCGAGAAGACGTTTTCGATATCAACATCGAGAAAAGGTTTCGAGGCCCAACATTGAGAACCTCAACTTCGAAAAGTTTTTCAAAGTTAAAAATTCAAACTTTTCGATGTCCTACACTGTTTTAGCCATAACTTTTGACTCGGTGATCAGAAAGCTAATGAAAAGATCTACATGAATTCTCAGGGGGGGACCCCAAAACCCTTTCCCACGCTCCCTCACTCGCTGGTTTTGAGGGAGATATCATCTATTTTCTGAAGAAAAAAATCAATCACCGAGGTCAAGGTCGAAACTGAGGCAAATCTAATCAATTCTTCCTAAGTCAAACCAAAGGTCAACACTGCTCTAATCTACACTTTAAGGTCCGTAACTCGTAGATAATTCAATCAACCTCGCGTCAACGGTCATTTCACAACAATCAACAATCAACTTCTGATGCCTCCGATCCACTTACTCATCGACAACATGTGATCATCAACGTTTTGAAATTCTAGATGATGAGCTCAGGGTAAACCTTCATGTGTGGTACCTGTTTAGATTGCTCCATACACATAGCAAGTATAACAAGCTATGAGCAATCAACCCTTGCACCATCTGAGGGGGAGTTACAGTTTTCTCCTCCTGGCGCCATACAACGACAAAGCAAGGATTCTCTCAAAGGATACAACATTTGTGGAGTCTTCAATTTTCTCCTCCCCGGTGCCAAACAATAACAAAGCATACCAAATGCTCCAGTTGAGGGGGAGTACAGAGAGAAAATAAATGAACATAGAGAATGAGAGAGAGATCCCAATGACTTAGTAAACCCAAATATGCCTACCCAAGGGACAAAGCCGAGAGTAAGTGAGTGGATGAGTGAGTGAGTGAATACTATGAGCGTTATGAAGCAGAAGACTCATGTGAGTCTGCTACCTCAAGGAAGCAGAAGGCTCAAGTGAGCAAACAATAATCAATGATAAGTCTGCTACTTCAACAGCCTGCTATCAATTGAACATTTACTCCCTATCACTCAAATACTCTGGATAATCCCCATAGGTTCAGGACTGAATTTATTCAGATCCCGGGTAGAAGTCACTGCATCTTGTCCAACAGGGCATACATAACCCTGCCCAAGACCACTCATTTATCTCCCAACAGACAAGTGTTCAATCATATTTCACGAGGAATCTCATCTCATCTCGTTACTGTCTCCTTCCGAGGCAAGTGATACTGACTACAGTGGCCTTAACCCCATGCCACTGGACTTTCATTGATTATGATGTGTCTACTTATCTCACTCCCAAATGTTTTGAATTTTCTAGGGCACAGACACACTTTTGAGTCAGTTGTAGGTCCAAGTGACCATGCGAGAACTTCCATAGGACTCATCTGTTGAAGATGAAGACCAATGATTGGAAGGAAGTCCTATTGTTGCCCTGCTGTTGCAACATAGAAATCACCAACATGTTCAGTTCATCGCTTTAGAGTTTCTCTATAGTGATCATAATGGGTGTCCACTTTCATTGCTGATCTTTATAATCATGCCTTAACAACCAGAGTGACATCTACTTCAGATGCTTCATAATCATTGGTGGGAAGTCCTGTTAGAGCATTAATGCTTCTATCATCTTATACATGCCACACATTAATGTTTGCATTGATGTTCTGTTAACGGAACACTTCAGTGTATCCGGTCTTTATCATTTAACCTTTATGTTTGTTTTCAATTTTGTTTCGAGAATAAAAGAATAAAGGCATGATGCCCCGATTTATCGGATCGTCATGGGGGGGAGAGTGGTCCACATGCTATTAACTCTCAACAAATCATTTTTGGACACTTCTCTCCTCCAACACTTTCTCTACTATCTCTACAACTAAATGGTCAAGCCAGCTTCAAATCAAACGGTCAGCTAGGTTCACAAGTTAACCATCTTTTTCCGATGTGCCATGTACACTTTGAAGGAGACAAAGGTCAAATATTCAAGTTCTGGAGATGAATCCTATGTGCGCCTTCAGAATTCATTAATGTTGATCTAGAGCACCTTCTGAAAGGCAAGGAGCACAAGCTACATCTTGAAGAACCCTCAACCCCCGGCATCAAAGAACAAATTACCAAGAAGACATCAAAGGGGAGATTGAAAGGATTTCTTCAAAAAGCCTTCTCAAGAAGTCGAGTTCAAAGACAAAGGAAGCTGAGCTGCACTGAAGTTCAAGACAAAGAGGAGCAACTTGACAAGTCTTATCTACGCTCTCCTCTACATTGCTGAATCAACACAAAGACAAAGATATCCATGCTGCAATGCTGATTAAACAAGATTAAACACCAAGGGGGAGATTGTTGGGAATATTTTATGGTGTCTAATCTAGCTAAATATCTTTGTATTTGTATTGTTATTAATTAAATGTGTAATATGGGCCACAATTGTATATTAGCCCATTAACCTCTTTGTAAGCCATAAGTTAGACCTCCTCACCTATAAAAGGAAGCTAACTTATGAGAAAAACCCCATGCATTAGAGAATAGAGGCAGAATAGAGATAGAATAGTTCATACGCTGCTCTCTCTCTCTCTCTCTTGAGGGAGAGCAGCGGCCATTTCATACGATGTACCCAATTTCTGTTAAATCTATCCGCTTCATCTTCATTTCTATGGTTGTTTGATTGTTAGAAATAGGGACAAACAAATAGTGATTACGTACAAGCATTTGACGAATCATGAGTTTCATCACTGTGAGAATTAGTGATACATCCAGACATACCTATGTTTAGTGTATAATGAAGTTGAACAGATTTTACTAAACAACTTTAAACATGCGATATAGATTGCATGTAACCATAGAAATTACCGATTATTAGTTGTATCGAGATATTTAGTTCAACATTGGAATTACATCACAGAGTGGCGTTCCTGTCCAGCCGGCCTGACGGGAATCGCCGTCCAGCCGATGCCATTTCGGGTCCTTCCCGGAGGAATTTTTTGATTCAAGTTTTTGAGCATGTTCTTAATCAAGTCTACTTTACTCATATCAAATTTCAGATAAATATTCAATCGGGAAGGCAGTCAAATAAATCATTTAAGAACACTGCGCAATATATATGTATAAATATCGCAGTATGTTTCGAAAAATCATTTGACTATCTTCCCAATTGAATTTTTAGCTGAAATTTGGAATGAGTAAACTAGACTTATGAAGAACATGCTAAAAAAAATTCATCAAAAGAGTTTATCGGGAAGGGCCCCAAATAGGCTCAGCCGGTCGGCGGTTCCTATCAAGAGGTAGGCATGAATATAGGATGTAACCCTATTAGAGCTTTGGATGAACGCGGTTGAGCTAGCAAATGTTGCAGACTTGTAGAACTACTAGCAAATATATGAATCAAATATTGTAAAATTACGAAGAAGGTTGAGCCAAAGCTCAAGACAAAGTTTATAATAAATATTAAATAATAACATCAAAGAATTAATTTGAATGCGTTTCCGATTGAAGTTTTAGCTGAAATTTGGTATGAATATATTAGATTTGATGAATAAGATGTTAAAAAAATTTCATCAAAAAATTCCACCGGGAACCGTTTCAAATCGCGACGGCCGGGCAGAACCTCCTGCATAAGGACTTATTTGATCTTTTTATGAAAGTTCGAGAATCTATTTAACACTATTTTCTTTAACAATAAGAAAGTATGTTAAATTGTGAAACGTTTTTGAATAAGAAAAAGCTTTTGAATAATTGAATTTGAAGAATTGTCCCATGATACATTGATACTACGTAATAAATTGCACGAGTGTCACACAAGTGTTACCTCAGGAGTCACGGATGGATAAAGCAGCAGGGGTGATGCATAGTGGCGTAATTGGTGGAGGAGCACTGCCTTCTTTCCATAGTCTTCACAGTCTTCTTGCCCACCCTACCTGCTTTTCTTCTCTATTCGAGACCACTAATTTGACTTTCTCTTACCCTTCAGTCAGGTGATTTCTGTTCTTTCTGGGTTAACATCATAAAGTTTCTTATTCCTATACTATCACTTTTATATACGCAGTGCTTCGTATGTTTATGTGTGAATCCGGAAATCCTTGCAAATTGATAGCTTCTTATATGTGGAAATGAAAATTCCGTGATGGGTATCTCGTATTATATTGAATCATAGTGAAGGCAAAGTTAATATGCGTTTTTTTATTTTTTATTTTGCGGTAGCTCTGTTTTTTAAAATTGTTTTCTTCTTCTGTGAGCTTTCAGAATTATAAAGCATGTATTGAGCTCAAAGCTTGCAAATTGGCATGCACTTCCATGAATCTTGATGATCTGCTGATCTCTTTTTTTGATACGGATGTTGTTGGGTGTGATTTCTATTGTACCGTTGCCCCCATTTCTACAGTTAGGAGAAGGTTCTAAGAGAGTTGCACATGTAGGAAGAGAAGTATTGTTGGTAAAAGATCTGGCGGCAATACTGTAACGGTTTCCAATATGGCTGGGATTAAGGGAATAGTAACTGAAACTTGGGATGCAAGATCTGGGAATATGGTTTTTGAGCCTATTCTGGAGGAAGGAGTCTTTCGGTTTGATTGCTCTGCAGAAGATCGGGATGCAGCATATCCAAGTTTTTCTTTTGTGGATCAGAAAGCAAGGGAAACACCACTTTTGAGTGTTCACAAAACTCCATTATACACTCCCACTTTTGAATGTGCAAAAGGGAAACAAACTGTCAACATTAAGGTACTTTTATTATATCTTCGGGTTCACTCCACATCTTTGTGCGTTTTTTCTGATTAATTAAATTTGATTTTTGTTATTAAAAAAATTGGAATGCAATTTAGCTTCCACTAGGTACTTCATTCTATGGTACAGGGGAAGTTAGTGGCCAGCTTGAAAGAACGGGTAAAAGGGTATGTGTTAACTGCTAAGTATATATCCTCATGAGTTTTCTATTTATTTGTAAAATATTTTCAGGCTATACCTCTGACTCTGAGACTTTGCAATTATCATGTTATATACGGAGTACATTTTAACTATTATTAACATTATTAGTATTAATATTACTGTTATTAAAATTACTATTATTAATATTAATAATAATATTATTATCATTAGTACTTTTACTTCACTATTACCAATAGTCTTATTATTATTGTTATTATTAGTGTCATTATATTGTATATTTATATACAGGTATTCACCTGGAATACTGATGCATATGGTTATGGTCCTGGAACTACCTCATTGTACCAATCACACCCATGGGTGCTGGCTATTCTTCCCAGTGGAGAGGCACTAGGGGTTCTGGCAGATACGGCACTGCGATGTGAAGTATGTGTGCGCTTATTTTTTTAAGCTCTATTTGATGGACACTTGGGGGTTGATTCTTAACATTTATTTATGCAGATTGACTTGAGAACAGAATCCAATATTAAGTTTATTGCACCAACGCCGTATCCTGTTATTACATTTGGCCCCTTTCCTTCTCCAACAGATGTTCTCATAACTTTGTCACACGCAACTGGTAATATGATGTGCCGGGCACTTGCAGCTTTCAAAATGACATGTTATTTCCCCATTCAAATTTCTGCACCTTGTTATATTAGTTTCTCTGTGTCACTACAATTTTTTTTGCTTTGCCTCACTGACCATCATATATTTGTTCACTTTCATTTTGAATCCAGGGACTACATTTATGCCTCCAAAGTGGTCTTTGGGTTATCATCAATGTCGTTGGAGTTATATACCCGACAGTCGAGTTTCTGAGGTATGTCACTTTCGTTCTTCCACATTTTCTCATAGCATGTAGAAAGTATACCTCATGTTAGGGCTGTGTGTGTCAGTGCGTGTCTTCACATTTTTTTGGTCATATAGAGGTTGAACAATTTGAAGAGTTGGGATTTGAAAAGTGCCTCATTCAACTTCCTTGAGCTAACACTCTTTTCTTCATACCTTTCATAAAGACTACTTAGTTTATGCATAAACTTTGCCATTGTCGATAGAATCCTATTTTGTTTACTTGGCACAGATAGCAAGGACATTTCGTGAGAAAAGAATTCCTTGTGATGTCATATGGATGGACATAGACTACATGGATGGTTTTCGGTGCTTCACATTTAGCAAGGTATGTTCTTAAGTCTTGAAAGTCCAACTTGTTCATCCATTATCATCTATACTTCTTTGTCCATGACATGCTCTTTCAATTATTAAACATACGCTGACGAGATAGAAGAGCATTTCTTGATTATTATTTTCCTTTAGGATCATTAAAAAATGTGTCAATATGCTATGAGCATTAGTGCAGGAGAGAAAAGTGAGGTAGGAGACAAATAAAGCAATAGTGAAGGTCACCTCCCTCTCCTTTGGAAAAAATACTCACGCAAGACAGCCTTGCCGGGTCTTGCGCTTAGTTCTCAATTCATAATCTTACTTAGTGAGTAGACTCCAACTATAACACCTCCTAAGAGTACCTGGTATTAAATAAGAGAATACCAATTGTTCCAATTTATTAAATCAGTTGTCCAAATCAAAGACTAAGGCTCTGTTCAGTTTGTGAAAAAAGAAAAGGAAAGGTAAGAAAAGGGAAAAAAAAGAATGGAAGGCAAATGAAATAGTGAAAAGTAGAGTTGTTCGTTTGAGAAGAAAATCGTATGAAAAGAAAAGGAATTGTCATCATCATCATCATTACCCCAGTGTCGCAAAGGTTCCCACCTACGGTGGGGCAAGGGGGGTCAGATGTACGCAACCTTACCCCTGTACTAAAGCATAGAGAGACTGCATAGAGAGTGTTTCTGGATGACCCATAGTGAAAATCGTGTCGAAAATTTCATGGACCGACTGCTGCTTCATAACAAAGAAGCGCAAACAGTTTAGTGAACCATTTTGGTTTATTCCATTATATTCCCAAGCCAAAAAATAGTTAGTCTTTGGCTCCATTGCAAAAGAAAAGTTATTGTTAATAAATAAATTGGCCTTGCTTGGCACCCTCAGGCCTCAACGGCACCCGTGCAGGGAAGCCATCTTTCCTTTTCTTGTTCTACCGAACAAGAGAAACTGTTACCTTGCTCTCTTTTCTCTCTCCTTTCACTTTCCACTGTTCACTTTCCTTCCTACTCAGTGGCCCTTAAAACTAATGCTGCTAGGGTAAATACTAAAGTGTGAGAAATAGCTTCCATGCTGCTCCTGTGCACCCCTACTGCAAAACAGCTGGTAAGCATGACCAATGAACACATCCAGTATTTAATAATTATTACGTAGTATATAAATTTATAAATATACCAATAAATCTCAGTATAAAGTAATGCTACATATCTATTTGATAGCCATACATCAAGAAACATGCTGAGAAGCTTCTTTTGATGTTTATACATAATGCACAGTCTGTTACATCATATATTCTCCATTTGAAGTGGCAATACGTTGAACTTTTTACATGGGGGATACTTATTTAGCTCAAAGAAATTGTACAACAACAACATCCCCCTTAGTTCCAAAACAGTTTGGGGTCAGCTAACATGAATATTTTCCCTCCACTTCGCTCTCTCCAAAGTCATACTCTCATTCAATCCAAGAAGTACCATATCATTCCCGACCACTTTGATCCACGTCTGTTGGGGTCATTCTTTCCCTCTCATCCTTGCCTCTGATTCTATAACGTATGCTATTAAGTTTTGAAGTCAATGGTTTCGCTCAAATATTTTTTGTTGGTTTGATCTGGGATCCATAATTTCTCAAGGGATTGCTGCTATATAAATCCTTTTAGACTCCCAGTCTATATTCTATTGTTTGACTGTCCATCGTTTAATATATTCCTGTCCTTACCTTTCTGTTTTCCAACTTTTGTCATTTTAGGAGCATTTTCCTGATCCAAAGACCCTTGTGAAAGATCTTCATCAAAGTGGTTTCAAAGCTATCTGGATGCTTGATCCCGGGATTAAGCACGAAAAGGGTTATTTTGTCTATGACAGTGGATGTGAAAAAGATATATGGATTCAAACAGCTGATGGCAAGCCTTTTGTTGGTATGCAGCTTTTACTTATATAAATCTATGGCTTTTGTCATAGTGATGTATGTATTATCTTCAATATGTACGGACATGCATATGATTTTTTTTGTTGATTAGGTGATGTGTGGCCTGGATCTTGCGTATTTCCTGATTTCACACAATCAAAAGCCCGATCATGGTGGGCTGGGCTAGTTAAAGACTTTGTCTCGCATGGTGTTGATGGAATATGGAATGATATGAATGAGCCAGCTGTTTTTAAGGTGACTGAAGCATTTTATTAATAAATTCTTGTATTCCTTGCTGGCATAATGCAATATTTTTTTTTCTGAGAATTTTCTGCCGCAGACTGTAACAAAAACAATGCCCGAGACCAATATTCATAGAGGAGATGATGAATTTGGAGGCGTACAAAATCACTTGTATTATCACAATGTACTGTTCGATTTCTCTGAACTCTTTTTTCGATTACAATATTTTCTGTGTGGGATTGTGAACCAATACATTGTCGTAGATATTATTTAGGTCACCATATCAAGTTGTAGTCTTAACTTGCGAATGCAACTTTTCCTTGCTATGTATCTTGTGATAACTCTATATCATATTAACTTCAATGGTTCTCTGTCTTTGTTAGGTCTATGGCATGCTGATGGCTAGATCAACATTTGAAGGGATGAGACTAGCTAATAGTAATAAGCGACCCTTTGTTCTGACACGAGCAGGATTTATTGGTAGCCAAAAGTATGCTGCAACATGGACAGGAGATAACCTCTCTACATGGGAGCATCTTCACATGAGTATTTCCATGGTTCTTCAACTAGTAAGCAACTGAAAATGATGAATTATAATTTTGAGCTTTCCAATGCTTCTAGGCATTTATGTTCTAGCTTGAAAATAAACTGAATCTCCAAGGGTAGGAATTGTAGAAATAGTGTAGCATTTATATCATATTTTTCTTACTTTTCTGCGCTGATAGCCATGCTTACACACAGTTCTGATTAGAGTTCTTTTAGGTGTACTCTCAAGTCACAATGTTTATTGAGTTTGTGGATGTATCATGTTCTACTGCCAAAATGACTGACTCTTTATGATATAGCTGGAACATAAAAGTCTTCCATTGGTTGGACTTGGACACTTTGAAAACATGCATTTCAAGTCAGTTCCATCAATTCCATAGCCGCCCAAAGAAAATAATACTTTGTATTTGTTATTTTGTGTATTGAATATCCGGATTTCAAAGCTTCAGGTAATACTACCCTTTTATAGCACATCCTAGCTGCTATGTTCTGTACTACTATTCCTCTCTCCATATATCTAACTATGTCTATTAATTTCTGAGTGGATCATCAGGTAGTAAGATAAATCTCTTTCACAAAATTTTCCTGTATTTGCTTTGACAATTGAACTTTACCATCACATCACACAAGGTCCAGTTTTCAGTGTTAACGGCTAGCTATAAAGAAGGCATCTCAACATTGCATACTTAGGTGAACTTCAGCTTTAAATGGTTCATTATTAATCAGACTGTGAGTGGAGATTTTTTAATCTTCAGGGTCTCAGTGGCCAACCACTATCAGGGCCAGATATAGGAGGGTTTGCTGGCAATGCAACTCCAAAACTGTTTGGAAGGTGGATGGGCATTGGTTCCTTGTTTCCATTTTCTCGTGGGCATTCTGAAGCTGGCACCACAGATCACGAACCTTGGTCCTTCGGAGAAGAGGTATGCTCTTGCTTAGTGAGGAGAACAAATTTTCTTTAAAGAAATTGCCATAAATAGGAGTAAAAAAAGGTCTTTCACTAAATAGAAGTACTATATTATTCCGTAAAGAGGAGTAAGTACTGAAACTATACTGTCATACTGATATCATACTGCCATCTTCTTAATGCTCAATAATGACATAATATGACATTTCCAATGGAGCCAAAGATTCACTATTTTTTGGCTTGAAAATATGATGGAATAAAGCAAAATGACTCACTTTTTAGTTTGTGCTTCTTTGTTACGAAGCAGCAGTCAGTGCATGCAATTTTTGATGCTATATTCATCAGGGAAATTTTATGGAACCCTATATGACTCCACTATGGAGTCATATAGCATATGTGGCACCATCACAATCATTCACTCATGAAGTAGGGTCCTCCACTATAAATCCACTATAGAATTGAATGGTTGTGATAATGCCACATGTGCTATATGACTCCATAGTAGAGTCATATAGGGCTCCATAAAATTTTTGATATTCATCATAGGTCATCCGGGAACAGTCTCTTTGTGATTTAGTACAGGAGTAAGTCTGCGAACATCTGACCCCCCTTACCGGATGTTCGCAGGATGACATAATATTGGTATTTGGTAATGTTGTTTTTGCTGTAAATTGTAAATTGTAATGACATAATATGACAATATGATTTCAGGATGACAACATTTAAGGAAAAGGCATAGTACCCCTATTTAGGGATTTTTTGGGGAACTTTCCTTGTTCTTTATAAACATTGAACTCATGACTTTATAAAGTGTTCACAAGGTCTTATATAACATTTTTGGACTTAATTTTTGCAGTGTGAGGAAGTTTGCCGCCTTGCATTGATCAGACGATACCGTCTTTTACCGCACATATATACTCTCTTTTATATGGCGCATACAAGAGGCACTCCTGTGGCTACCCCCACTTTTTTTGCTGGTATGCTGATGTGCTTCCATGTTGTTGAAATCAAAACTTATTTTCTTGATAAATTTGCATTAACATATTTGAAGGAGGACCTTTTGCAATGTTAAACATCAAGATTGCTTTCAGATTTTCAGTCTTTTTTTTTGTTTTATACTAGGATTACTAAAGGTTTCAATTCTTAATCTTTTTAGTAATGATATTCGTGTTTTATCATACGTGCCTTCTGAGCTAAGAACTTGGAAGTTTTATAAAGCCGTTTTTGTAAATAAGGTATAAATGTTATGTAGTATTTGTAGTGTTATTGTGTTAAATGCCTTTTTTCATTTTACTGCCCAATGCTTCTTTCTTAACTAAACACACTTTGCTTCCTCTAAAAGCACTTATTTCTTGAAAACAAGTAATCCCAATTCCCAAATGCATTCTAGACTTTTGTTTAAACGACTATTCTTGCAGTGTACTTATATAGCAGAACATTTTCAATTGCTTATGCAGATTCAAAGGATCAGGAATTGAGAAAACTTGAGAACTCATTCATGCTGGGACCTCTCCTTGTATATGCAAGGTTTTCCTTTTCTTTGTACTATCAATGCCATTAAAGTGTATGCCTTTGTGTAGTAACCTTTGTGAAAATGTTTAGTTTTGTATCGCTACATACTCGTGTTACATTGTCTTTGAGTCTCCGCGGCGCTATGTGGGGAATACTAATTAGATTCAGGTTCATAGTCTTTAAGTTTTAATGGTGGGTGAGGACTTTTCAAAGGAAATAAAACTTTCTCAATGGTTTCAGCCTTTTCTTGTGTAGGATATTAGTCTTAAACTATAGTCTATAGAAAGATGTTTCCCCAAACTAGCTAGCTACCCGCAATGACTCATTATTCATCAACCATTATTCATCACCCACATAAGAGGTACAACCCTGATATGTGTAGTGTGGATTCTTTTTTGCTGATACACTTATTTTTTTTCTCAATCACATAAGAGGTACAACCATGATATGTGTAGTATGGATTCTTTTTGCTAATACACTTGTTTGTTTCTCTCCACATTTAAAAAGGAAATAGAAAATGCCAACCTCGCAATTCTCTCTCTAAATGGAAATTGAAGTTTAGATTGTAAATAATGAACTTTATGTTGGGATGGAGCCAGGAGTGAGCATGTTTTGGGAACTAATTTATTATGTTCAAGAACATATTTAACTTGTGATGTGGAGTGGAAAAGTAAAAATAGCACTACCCTGGTCCCTGGCACCAGCTGTCTGTGTGCTAGTGTGGATTCCTTTTTGCTGATATACTTAATTGTTTCCTCCATCCCTCAACATTTTTTTCTTGTTTTATTTCGGGAACAAATGGATTAAGGGGTGCACATTTTTTCCACTGTTCATGCAATAATGTTGTGCTGTCTTTAAGCAGTACCGAGCATGATAAGGAGGTAGATCAAGTTCAGAGAAAACTGCCTAAAGGCATATGGTTAAGTTTTGATTTTGAAGATTCACATCCGGTAGTTATTCCTAGAAACATAATTTGTTTTGGTATTTAAAATATTATTTAAATATTTTTCCATCTTTTTTTTATTTCTCTAAATCTGGAAATGGTAGGACTTACCAGCTTTATACCTTCGAGGTGGATCAATAATTCCGGTAGGTCTTCCATATCTACATGTTGGTGAGGCTAACCCTACAGACGATTTGTTTCTTATTGTGGCTCTGGATGAACAAGGTATCCTTGATAGAGAACTCAACTATGCAGTAGCAAATCAGTATATTATTGATTTACTAGTATTGCTACTCATCAAGCCTTCGTGGGCGTAGTTAATATTTAACTGCACATAAAAGAGGCCTACACACACCCAAAATAACAGTAACTCATCTTTTATTACTTAGAAAGGAAAGCTGGTAAGGAAAATAAAAACAGTATCATCAAATTGGTTGTCCATGATGCAGGTAAAGCTGAAGGTTCTCTCTATGAAGATGATGGGGATGGATATGAGTACACCAATGGTGGATACCTGTTGACTACATACACTGCTGAACTTTCTTCTTCAGTTGTTACCTTGAGGGTGGCCAATACTGAAGGATTGTGGAAAAGGCCAAACCGCTGCTTACATGTAAAACTATTGCTTGGTGAAGGTGCTATGGTATGATTGCTTGTAAACTCTCTGGCTCATAGTTATATGAGTTTCTCAGTTTTGAACGACCTTTATCTTTCATTCCCATGTATCATTGTTTCAGCTTGAGTCACACGGTACTGATGGAGAGACCATACAAATAGCAATGCCATCAGAGAATGAGGTCTCAAGTTTGGTATTAGCTAGTGAAAAGAAGTACAAGATTATAATGGGTAGAGCTGTTGCTCCAAATCACTCATCTGAAGTATATCCTATTCAAAACATAAGATATAAACCCATTGTTTTCAGAAATGGCAAGACGTATACCAGATGTCAGTGGTATCTCTCAGAAAAATGGAGCTGGACTTTCACTAGCGCCGGAAGTACTAAAAGGTGGGGATTGGGAGCTGAAAGTGGTTCCATGGATTGGTGGCAGAATAGTATCCATGGAGCATCTTCCCACTGGTAAGTCATACTATCACATGGATTCTCTTCCTCCATTTGTTGAAAGTATCGTTTATTAAATGCGTCAAAGGTTATGTGCACTCTCCATTTATATACCTGCTTTGTTTCAACAGTTCTTTACACGTCAGTTGGCTGTAATTTTGAAATTTAAAATCAATTGCTTGCATTATAGCTCTGTGGTCTGAGAAATAAAGATTTATGAAAATGGAGATATGAGCTTGACCCTTTTCATACTCCATCTCTTTTTGGTTCTGGCAGGAACTCAGTGGCTTCACAGCAGAGTAGATATAAATGGGTACGAAGAATATAGTGGCCTTGAGTACAGATCTGCTGGATGCACGGAAGAGTATTCTGTCATTGAGTGAGTTTTAAAGCCTTACTGAAAATTTGAAATTACTTCTCTTGGGGGGATGTGAAGTACTCATTCCTTGTCTTCCATTTACTAAGAATGTCTTTTGCCTAAATTAAATTAGCGTGGGGAAAGTATAGTAAGTTGAAGAAACTACTAGGCTTATTTTTCTATATTAACTATAACTATGCACTAGTCTTTAGAAAAAAGTTAAGTGGAAAGCTGAAAGTAATATCAATAAAAGGTAGCTTCTTGGAATCTTGGTTTAACAAAAAATGATCAAATTAAGTTCAAATGTAGTACTATATATATCATCATCATTACCTCAGTGCCGCAAAGGCTCCCACCTACGGTGGGGTAGGGGGGGGGGGTCGGATTTACGTAGTCTTACCCCTGTACTAAAGCACAAAGTGACTGTTTCCGGATGACCCATATTGAAAATTGCGTCCAAAATTGCATGGACTGAGTGCTGCTTCAAAATGTAGTACTATATAAAACAAAAAAAATTGTGCCAAGGAGTCATGAATTTCTCACTGTGAGATGGCAATAATACTTTACATGAGTCATGTGTGCACTACTTTTGCGACACATGTATTATTATATTTCAATAACACTGGGTTTCCGGTTCATTTTCATCTACTAAGAGTATGAGATCATTTATAGAAAGGATCAAGAGCATGCAGGAGAAGTCAAATCTCTTGCATTACAAGGAGATATTGGTGGCGGCTTAGTCATCGTGCGATATATATCTTTACTGAAGAACAACCCTAAGGTTTTCAAGATTGACTCAAGCATTGTTTCTCGTAATGTTGGAGCTGGTTCTGGAGGATTTTCTAGGTTTGTACTTATTCTTGCATCATTGATCGATTCATGTTAGCCGACTCCAAAATATTTTGGGAAATAAGGCTTGGGCTTGGATGCTGTTGTACTTATTCTTGCATCACATTTAACATGCATTGCATGAAGTCCAGAGCTAACAGATCATTTTTGTTACTCCCTCTGCCCCTACAGAAATTATTTTCACTCTTCTTTTAAGGAAAATATTTTCCCGTTGATACGACTTCTGTCTCTCTAAACAAATATCAAAAACACAGTTTTCACCTTGATTGAAACTGTGCCCAGTCAAACGATGTCTTAAATAAGAGATGGAGGGAATATGATTTTGCATGAAAAACACACTTCTCATTCTGGCTGTTGACTGTAGGCTGGTTTGCTTGCGTATACATCCAATGTTTACACTGCTTCACCCAACCGAGTCATATGTGTCCTTTACATCTGTTATTGGGTCCAAGCATGAGATTTGGCCAGAATCTGGTGAGCAGCAAATCATGGAAGGGGATCTTCTCCCAAACGGTGGGTTTTTCTTATTTTCATCTCTGAATTTTTTCTGGACTGTTTGGAACCTGGAAAATATCAAGGAAAAAAGTGTGCAGAAAATAAGGGAACACAAGAAAGTTTGAAGGGAACAAAAGATACTATAATAAATCTAAAATTGTAGATATTTCTTAAATCATTTTTATCTTTTATTTATCTTTATCTTATCCATTTTATCTTACCTTGTCTTTTTATTTGTCTTATCTTTCTTCCGTTTTTGGCTCTGATGTCATGAATCGATTCATGTTAGCCGATCCCGAAATCTTTAGGGAATAAGGTTGGATGCTGTTGTTGTTGATACTGCAGTTTCTAGTCTTAGCTTCGATTTCATATATCGGTTCATGATAGCCAATCCCAAATTCTAAGGTTTGGATGTTGTTGTTGTATTGTTCTTTCTAGTTCCTACGGTAAAACCAAAGTTAAGAAAAAACTATATGTAGCATTTTTTCGTTCCCTAGAATTGTCCGGGATCCAAATATACCCTTGATGTTTCAAAGACTTGAACATTTACCTCACAAGAATGGCATTCATAATAAAATCTGTCCTTTCTAGTCTATTTCGAACGTGGAAAATACCAAAGAGATAAAGGATGTAGGAAAATATGGGAACAAAACAAATTTTGAAGGTAACAAGAGAAAGATACACATATAAATCTACAAATTTTAAATATGCTATTTTAATTGAAAATATCCATATTTTCAATTTTCCTTTGCACTTCAGAGTTTCAATGGTAAAACCAAGCATAAGAAAGCAACTTATATATGCTTTTTTTCATCCCTAGCATTGTCGTGGATCGAAACATACCATCTATGTTTCACAGACTTGAACCATTTACCTCAGTAGAAGGCTCTTCATACAAAATTATTCAAGTACTGTAGCATTTGGATAAACTGAACAATCTACTTATGCTTTTCTGTCAGTTCTGAATCTTTTCTATTGTTAACAAAACTGCAGCGGATCTAGTCTGCCCTGTTGAAATGTTTTTTTTTTGTGTTCAGGAGAATGGATGCTTGTTGACAAATGCCTTGGCTTAGCTTTGGTGAACCGGTTCAGCATTGACCAAGTATACAAGTTCATGGTGCATTGGGGCTGTGGGACAGTTACTTTAGAGCTGTGGTCAGAAGACAGACCGGTTTCTAAGGAATCGCCTCTAAAGATTTCACATGAGTACGAGGTGATAAAGCTACCATAACTTGTGAATCCAGATGTTGTACTGATGATAGTTAAGACGTTATGTATGTTGCAACTTTCTCTGTCTGAATATGTAACAGAAAACTTCCTAGAACCCCATTGAAGGTTCCCAGAATGTGGTCAATTTACATCTCTTTTAAGATTTTATTTTATATAGAAAGTTTTTAGAGTTTTTTTCAAAAATAATGTTAAATGGAAAACTATTTACAAAATTAATGTTGGGTTAAAAATAGGGAAAAATAATTAAAATACCCCAAACTTTAAAGGGGTGTGAGATAAACACCCCAAACTTTCATATGTATTTTAAATACCCCAAACTTTATATAAAAAGTCATTTTAACACCATGGTCATGTATTATTTCTTTCAAAAATGTAGATTTATGGTGTTAATTGCATAATTTAAAATAGCAAATTGAAAATGATGCAATTATATAGAGTGTGTGGGGAGGGGGGTAGTATTATTTTACAATAGAAGTTTAGAATGTAAATTTCATCTTCATGAATGCTAAAAAAAACTCAAAATATGTAATTAACACCATAAATTTACATTTTTGAATGAAATAATACATGAACGTGGTGTTAAAATAAATTTTATATAAAGTTTGGGGTATTTAAAATATATATGCAAGTTTGGGGTGCTTACCTCACACCCCATCAAAGTTTGGGGTATTTTAATTATTTTCCCCTTAAAAATATATACCAATATACTGCTACTATAACTAGGGTTAATGAAAGCTGCAGCAAAGGCAACCTACGTAATACGGAGTACATTCGCGGGAGAAAGAGAGGGAAGAAGCAGGTGGGGTCTAAGGTATACAAAAATCTTTTTTTTTTTTTAAAAAAAATCTTATAACTTTTATAATGTTGCTCCAAATTTTATAAAAATAATATCAAATTTCGTAATTTTTTTATGATCTTTTATATGACACCAATATTGCATTTATAAAATTTAAAAAAATATACATATAACCAATTTGGGAGTCACCAAACGGGATCCAAACGTGAGAAATTAATTTAAAAAAGCATATTGAGTGAAAATAATGACAATTCTAAATTATAGAGAAATTTCATTTGATGGGTAAATTTTCGTATAAACCAGTAGAAATTATGTTTATTAACGCACTGGCAGTAGAAATTATGTAAACAACCAATATTTTCATTTCATATATGTATATATTTTTAAATTGTATATATGCAATATTGGTGTCATATAAAAGATCATAAAAAATTACGAAATTTGATATATTTTTTATAAAATGTGGAGCAACATTATAAAAGTTATAACAATTTAAAAAAAAAAAAAAGATTTTTGTATACCTTAGACCCCACCTGCTTCTTCCCTCTCTTTCTCCCGCGAATGTACTCCGTATTACGTAGGCTGCCTTTGGTGCAGCTTTCATTAACCCTAGTTATAGTAGCAGTATATTGGTATATATTCTTAACCCAACTTTAATTTTGTAAATAGTTTTCCATTTAGCACTATTTTTGAAAAAAACTAAAGTTTTTATAGTATTCGATTATTTTGCAGTTCAGTATACTTTTTGGTGCACTCTCTATATAAATTATACTCCTTCATTTTACCTGTCCTATTTCCTTTTTGGTTTGACCAAATAAGTTGTATATTTCCTTTTTGGGAAAAAAATATGTTGGCTACAATATTTTTGTTTATTATACTCAAATCTCAATCACTACTCTTACTTTTTCAACCATTTTATTAATGAATGTGTAAAATAAAAGTATGACACATAAAAGGAGACAAATAGTAATTATTAATGCCGCTTTGGAGAGTGGTTTTCTTGTCAGGCCGGCCTGACGGAATGATCCGTCCGGCCGAGCCCATTTGGACACCTTCCCAGTAAATTTTTTTGATGAAATTTTTTGAGCATGTTTCTCATCAAGTCTAGTTTGTCCATACCAAATTTCAGCTCAAAATTCGATCGAGAAGGCATTCAAATCATTTTTTGAAGTTGATTGCGTCAAAATATACATATAAAACTGCAGTCAACTTCAAAAAATGATTTGAATGCATTCCCGATCGAATTTTGAACTGAAATTTGGTATGGACAAACTAGACTTGATGAGGAATATGCTCAAAAAATTTTATCAAAAAATTCCATCGGGAAGGTTCCCAAACGGGCTCGGCCGGACGGAGCATCCCGTCAGGCCGGCCTGACATAAAGATTTGTCCCGCTTTGGATATCATCAAAGTGTTAACTTATCATTAGTCAATTACCGTATCAAATCTGGATATCATCGAAGTGTTAACTTATCATAAGTCAATTACCGTATCAAATAGATCTTTGGTATGGGGTGGAGGGAGTAAATGTAGTTCCAAAATTAAATTGCGATGAGCTTATCTTTTATTATCTAGAAATGTTTTTTTGGAGATGGGTGATCTTTTAGAACAGGTTCAACTCTGGTCAGGTTGTGGTTCTGTAACTTGGTGGGGAGGTGTCGTGAAACACTTCCTAATTTTATTAATAAAAGTTTGAAGTTTCAAGAGAGAAACGGGAAGCAAGCCAAGCAAGTACAAAAATAAATGAAGTTACAAGTACAATCCTACATAGACTTTAACAATTGAAATTTTGTGTGGGGATTCCCACACAATGGTTGGACCGGGACCGGGTCGGGCTCTGAGCCAGGATTGGGCTGAGCTCTGGCCTAAAAATTTCAGTCCCGATATTGGTCCGGGTTTGTATCGAAACTGGGCCGAGCTCTGGGATAAGACTGAGCAATAAATTAAAAAAATTGTGCATCTCTACACTGAAGTGGAGAGAGCCATGTTGTATTTGTTGTGAAATTTGATCGCCTTTTTCAGACATGGTTGGTAGGTTTCGGACTCCAGATGGGTTGACTTGTAACGTTTTAGTACTTCAGACCTTCAGCGAACTTATGAGGGGAGTCAAGCCTCGAGTCAACCAGGTACAGATACTCAGATAGAATTGAAGCTAAAAATCACAAACAACTTTACATTGTTTTAAATTCCTTAAATGAGACTAATCAAGTGGGTTTGGACAAATATACCCCTGTTGCTTTTAGGACTAAAATATATAATCCCTTCGTATTTAAAAGTTCGCTATTCTTTCGTATTTGGGATGTACTTAAAAGTTTGTTACACTTTCCTTTTTATTAAGTTTATCCTTTTAAAATACCCTTACTGTTTCTACCTTTTACCTCCTCTTCCCTACCTTTTCACCTTGGGAAAAGGTGCAAATAGGCCCATGTACTAACCAAAAAAGGTCAAATAAGCCCTTATTTAGGAGGCTCTGTCCGGACGTCGTCATTTGAGGTGGTTCCCGGTGAAATTTTTTGATGAATTTTTTTGAACTTCTTATTCATCAAGTCTAGTTTACTCATACCAAATTTCAGCTAAAACTTCAATCGGGAAGGCATTCAAATGAATTCTTGAAGATAACTGCGCTTCTAACTGCGCAGTTATTTTCAAGAATTCATTTGAATGCCTTCCCGATTGAAGTTTTAGCTGAAATTTGGTATGCGTAAACTAGACTTAATGAATACGATGCTAAAAAAATTTCATACAAGAATTCCACCGGGAACCACCCCAAATGGCGACGGCCGGACAGAGCCCCCTAAATAAGGGCTTATTTGACCTTTTTTGGTTAGTACATGGGCCTATTTGCACCTTTTCCCTTTCACCTTTATTCTATTTTTTCTACACTATTCATTACCCCTACTATTTCTCTCTTAAATATTGTCTCGAGACCTAATATACTGATCTTTTAAATACGGAGGGAGTATTTAATAAAATTAATAAAAATTTGAAGAAAAAATTAAAAAAAATTATAAACAAAAAAATAAAATACGTAAAAAGAATAGGACTAAAATAAATATTTAAGGAAATTAATAAAAATAAAAAATTAGAAAAAAAAACTAAAATTAATAAAAAAAACTCAAAAATAAAAATAAAAAAGCGTAAAAATAAAAAAATACATACCCTTGTCGCCGCCTCTGCCGCCCTGATCACCACCAGCCCTGATCACCGTAGAAAATCTCAACATGCAATAGTAATGCCATATTGATGGCAGTTTCAATGTAAATTTTGACATTATCGAAGAGTAACAATGTCATTTTCTTGACATTTTCAGAAAAAATGGCATTTTTACACAAAAAAGATTTTGTTTACTAATAAGTGGTGGTGGTGGTGGTGGTGGTGGGAGGCTCTAGAGGCGGTGGGAAAGGCATCCATATTTTTTTAATATTTTTTTAATGTTTTTTACTATTTTTTATTAATACTTTAATTTTTGTTTTCAATAAAAAATTAAAATTTTATTTTATAATTTTTTTTCTTACAAGTTTTATAATTTTTTACGATTTTATTATGAATTAAGACATTTTATTATGAATTAATACCCTTAGGTGTATTAAAGGTAGAAAATTAATGTTTAGTACTATTTGTGATGTTTAGGCATGTTTTAGTCCTATTTAGGGCAACTACTAATTTTAATTTCATTTTTTTGTCTATGTGTGTATCATAATACGTGTATTTATTAAAATTCTAATTCTAATTATATATTTACAATATCATATATTTGTGTAATATATAATAAACATAACATAATAATATAAGAAAATAATATTTGTATATGCAATACTCCGTAAAAGTTTTTTATTTTGAGAAGAATACTTCATATAAGTTATAAACTTGTGTTGTGTTGTGTTGTGTTGTGTTGTGTTGTGTTGTGTTGTGTTGTGTTGTGTTGTGTTGTGATAACGCATAAAATTAACAAAACAAAGCAGATTTGTAACCAACCCATCAGAAATCGAAATACTTAGTGATAGTCATAGTTCGTGGTCGGGAGAAGTGGGAATCAGTTGGTCCAAAAATCACAACAAACAGGTCTAGGTCCACCCGTGGATAGGGATGGACCCAGGTTGGTCCGGTCCCGATTCCTGGCCGAGACCCCCCAGTCCAAAAAAAATTGTCGGCTCGAGATTGACCTGCTATTATTCCCTTTACCCATTTGTTTATTTACCTGGTTTCAAAGTTAAAAAAAGAACCAGTATTATACCTGTGCGATGCACGGGACAAAAGTGTAACACATTTAAATAATAGGAGTATTATTTATGATATATTGCACATTAAATATTAATTTAA